ATTCACATTTAACATCAGTCCAAGTTATTGGAACACCCTTTATTATTCAATAAATCCATTCAAACTCTTATCTTCTTTCACTTTATAGATTGATTCACTGTTTTGGCTAGTCAGGTCTCCAGCCTTCCTTAAGTGTTTGCCAGATCTAGTAATTTCTGCACACAGAATCAATACCTCTTCATGTGCTGTGTCCTTTCAGGATGTAGGTGATTATGAGTCTCCACAATTTCCTGCCCTTTGTAGCTTTTAATAAATTTTATCTTTTTGTTATTTCTCTTAGACCTTGTTCTGCCATCCATTTTCTGCTGAAAAGTATAAATAGGACATTTGAAAAAAAATTGTTATTTAATAAAGATGAAGATTTTCGTTTGATTAATTCATGGAAATAATTTTATTGGAATGGTTTTCTAAAGTTCTGGGATGAAGCATATTGTTTTTTTTCTGTAGATTTTTCAGACTATTTTTATTTTTGTTGTTTTAACGCAGCATTTTGGCTAATGTATTCTTCAGTTTTCCTGTGTTGTTCGAAGCTCAGAGAGGAAATATTTTCATTATTCTATAGATTTTTCAAACAATTACCATCTTTCTTGGTTTGAACACAGCATTTCAGCCACTCTGTTGTTCAGCCTTCCTAGTATTTCGTAACTTGGAGAAAAAAAATATTTTTATTATTCCATACATTTTCCAGACTCTTGACATATTTGTTGTTTTTAACACAGCATTTCTGCTAATCTGTTCTTCAGACTTCCTCGTCTGAACTTCATTTTTCAAATTATTGTCTGCATTTCTTTTTTTTTCTTTTTTTTTTTCTTTTAACTCACTGTTTTGGTTAATCGATGTGTACATAGACAAAGAGATTATTGTCACAGGAAGTGATGTTGGCATGAGTTTGTTATATTCACTTTCACACATTTACTCTTGGGAAAAGTGTGAATCTATCCTTCAGCTATGGGTTAAATAGCAGGACAGTTTGGTCTCTCTAGCCTTGATTAACAATCAGTCTAGAAGGACAATTTGAAAAAAGATGTTAGGTATGGGGCTGGCAACTATAAAAATATGTTTGCTACAGAAATTACAGCAGTAACATCTTTTGTAGGATAGTCTGGCACTAAACAGGAGCAGAAGGAGATGGGATCAGGTGATTTGAGAAAATTGTAAAAATGTTTCAAAAGCAACAAACATTAAGACAGTAGTCCTGAAAACACATGGAATAATGTTTGTAGAAAGACAAATTAACACTTGTTTGTCGAATGAAAATGATTTGTAAAATTTGATGTGCCTTTTTAGAATGAGCTCATGGAAATCTGTGAGTATATCAGAATTTTAGTGACACAAATTTACTTTCCTCTCTTGATCTTTCACTCTTGGTTTTAATAAATCGAAATTCCATAATGGATGTTAATCATTACTCATAGCTTCACATTTTCTGGGATTGTTTGATGTGGATTTGTTTCCATAAATTTTGAGAGAAATCCAAGAGAAAGCAACAACAAAATGACAATTAGACAAAGGTAAAATATGGCAGTTTTCAAGCAAAAACATCAATAAAATCCAGATTCCTGATTTAATATTGTTTTAGGCAATTTTAAAAGCTACACTTGCAAAATTATAAATAAACAAGGAGGACCCAGTGAATTAAAGTAGATATAAGAAACAAGGTAAGGTGCTGTAAGGAATGAGGTGTAATACAATTAACAGGAAAGACGACATCCATTTGCATTTACTGCAAGATTTTAATGAAAGGAATGGGTGCTTTGTTATGAAGAACACTGAAAATTCCACTCATTTTTGTTGTTCATTTATAGAAGTTGAATATAAAAATTTTGAAAATATTGACTTCTACATCTAGTTCAAATAATTTACTGAAAAATCCTTGTTGTAACCTTTTTGTTGTTTTTGATGTTCTGTTAAAGTATTTTCATTATTCCTTGGATTTTTCCAATTATTGCCTTCATCCTTGTTATCACATTTCATCCAATACATTCTCCAAACATTCTGCATTTATTTGAACTTTTGAAATTAAGTGTTTTCAGACTATTCTCATTATCTTAACATATAGGTAACTTTTTGTGTTAAAACATTTGAAACTATTGTTAAAGTTAACATTTTAAATGATTTCTACATACCAAACACTGATTTATCTCATTTATACTTCCTTTTAAGTTATGGAACTGAGTCCTCAGGAGGTAATTTAGTGTTTGTTTTGAAGATATGGTTTAGAGAAGTAACTTAAAATAAAACCAAAAATTAATGTGAAACTGTAAGACTGAAAGTATTACTCATTAAGAATTATTCCCATCCTATATAAAGAATTATTTTTCACCTTCAGCAAGGCAATAATGCCACTAAGACACAAGGAGTTAATGGGAATGAAAGAAAATGAGAAGACTTTAATGAGGAGAAAGGACAATAAAAGAAGATGGCAATTGGTATTGCATTAAAATTTTTGAGGGTTATAAGTGGCAGGAAAGCAAGAAACCAGAATAGATTTCAACAAGTGAAACCAACTTTCCTAACAGTAGATCTAGCAATTGTTTCAGTATAATCAATCCACTTTGTCAGTGGAAAATGTGGGCTCAAGAAGGCATAGAGAATTGCTATACTGGAGTTTAGCATCTGAAATACACACGTTAACAAATTTAAAAAAAATTTTTTTTTGCACCACAGTCTTTTTATATATATATATATATATATATATATATATATATATATATATATATAAAAACATGGACAAAGTCCGAAATTTATTTAAATAAAGACATTTTTTTATGTTTAACGTTCTTTTTATAGATACAAGTATTTAAGTAAATGTTCTGTTTATAATAAACAGTATTAAATAACATTCAGGCGAGTAAATGTTATTTAATACTGTTTATTATAAATATATATTTACTTAAATATATGTATCTATAAAAAAGAACGTTAAACATAAAAATGTCTTTAATAAAATATATATATATATGAAGAAAAATATATACAGAAAAAAACAAACAAAAATCCTTATATACAATTATGCTGTTTTAATGTTAATATGTCAACGTCGGACGTTTCGGTCTAATAAACCATCTTCAGGACATATTCATAAATTATAACATTATCAATACAACATGACAAAGACGATGTACATAAGAACAAGACTATTCAAACAAATAACTGAAAGTTTTATAAGATCAGCGCTCCGTTTAAAACATGGTCACGTTGTCGTCACAAAAGTTCAAGTGACTTTTCTGGTTTGCCGACTTAAATGTTTCATGTTGGAATGCTAATCTGGTCCTGATGAATATTTCGGCACAAAACTCTTGATTTCACTAATCAGATAAGTCACTTAATCATTTCTTAATATATATATATATATATATTTATATTTATATATATATTATGTCACGAAGTGGAAAGCTTTTTATTGATGTGTTTCACCTTCATTAAGTAGGCATCTTCAGAGCAGAATCAAAGACAAATCTGTTGTTTTTTTTTGTATCCTACTAACATACATATATATATATATATATATATATATATATATATATATATATATATATATATATGTTTGTGACCCTAAACCACTTTTTGCAATCATCTGACAATTGTTATTATGTTAGCTCTATCATTGATATTGAGCACTTTCTCCTGAGTACCATGCATACATACACACACACACACACACACACACACACAAGATGGTGATAAATAAATTCTTGGACCAACCAAGGATCCTTTCCCTACAAAAATCCGATGTCTGGGAAGTGGATCAAGCAAAGACATTTTCTACACCTTCCAATATATATGTGTGTGTGTATATATATATATAAGAGAGAGAGAGAGTTGGTATGAAACTTTTCCCAGAGTCCATGGATATTATACTCTGCTCCTAGATAGAAATGCTGATTCATATGAAAATAATCTGAGTACTATATTTATATAATATTATTATTACATATTTAATATTAGTTAAAGTTAAGAATGAAAATTAAGTTTACTTTACATTGCTGATTTGTTTTTTTAATAAATTTTACTTGGTCTCCTTATCTTAAGGATTTCAAAAAATAAATCAGTCTTTTATTTCTTACTAAATATTCACCCACTACAAAGCTCAAGGAAGAGAGTTACTGAATGAGGCTTTTGAATGGACATAAGTGAAGAAAGTAAGTCCAGCTTATCAAGAGATACAGAATAGATTCTGTAACATGTAGAATACTATTTGTTATTTAATCAACTTAGTTTTTGAATAATGATAGAAATATTAAGCACTCAGTGAGGAATAAACTCACAACACAGTAGTTATAGTCAACCAGATTAGCTCTGGTCATGTGAATGCAAAAAATCACTCTAGCATAACACCCTTATCTGTTCAGTTAGTTGTATTGAGATATTCAAACTTGGTTCTGTGTGACTGCTTCAGTGCTTACAGCTATTCATTTGATTTGCAAGGAAGGAAAAATAAACAGAATTATAATTTTTAAAACCTGGATGTATTGTAAGAAATATGAAAAATCACTTTTATGCTGGGAATTTTTATTATTGAATATCCACATTCAGGAACAATTTTGTTAAAAAAATAATGTCTAGACTGAATGTAAATTCTGAAACTTTATTTTATTTCAGCTTTTTACTTCATTAGAAATTCAACTAGTTTGAGCTGAACTGAAATTTGTTAATTTAGGGCCTTCTCGATAAGTGTGTGTTTAACAAAGCAGAAACTGCCTTTCTGTAATAAATTAACCCTTATATCATTTATAGTCTTCTTGCTTTTTGTTAGTAGTCATTGCCAGAAAATCATTTGCATATTGTGGTCCTGGTCTGCTACCTGTTTCTTTATTTATATTTATTTAATTCTTTTTTAATACCTTCCCTTTTTCTCCACCTTGCCACAGGGCCAAATCACCCCTCCTTTCTTTCCCTTGGGGATGGCTGAGGGTGAAAGCTTTCATTGCTCACCTTTTGTGAAAATGTTACAGAAGGTGATGGTGGTGGGAATAAAGTAGCAACTGTTCACAACAGGTATGCCCCTCTCTCATTCCCCCCCTTTTCTCATTCAACAAAGGATCCCCAACAATGGGGCAAGTAATGATAGCTTCATGAACAGGCTATGCTTAAGGTCATTTTGCTTGGATTGCTGTATAAAAAAGCAAAACTGAAAAGACAATAACATGTTTAAAAAAAAAAAAAAATAGTTTTCATCTCTCTCCCCAACCCCCAGATTGAAGAAAGAAAAGAACAAAGAATTAATGTTAATGACTGCCAGGGTCAAAAGGAAAAGTTCATTCGGTGCCACCTTGCTGATATTATATTCTTGAATTATATCAAAATCTAAAGCATTTACCTGAAAAAAAAAAAAATCTTTTTTTCTTCTTTTTTTACTTTAAATAAAATGCCATTATCGAAAATTGATCTTTGTAAAAGTTCTAGATGCTTAACTTATAAGAAAAAGTGTTTTATTATTTTTATTTTTTATTTTGTATGTGAGTTGCTTAAAGTTAAATGGATATAATTTTCTGTGAGTATGACAAGAGTAGAGAACAAAATGAAAATAGAATATTTTCCCTGCTAATGTCTTCTATGTGTCACTTCAGGATGTAGGCAGTCATGGCTTTCCCAAATTTCCTGTCTTTTGTAGTTCTTAATAAATTTTGTCTTTTTGTTATTTCTCATAAATCTTGTCCTGCCATCCCTTTATCTAAACTTAGTAAGTAGGTGATGTATATTGTATTCCTCTATCCCTCTTGCCTTCAATCTGTCCTGTGAGTATCAGATTTTCCAAGCTTTCTTTCCTCATTATGTGTTCAAGAAATTTCAACTGTCTCTTGTTGTGAATTATAAGCTTCCATTTTGTTTCCATTTTCTATAAAACTTTGTCATTGCTCACTTGTTTGGTTGGTGGTATTCTCAGTATCCTTTTGTAGAACTATATTGTATATTACAGATATTACTGACAAAATTATACAAATATTCTTAGATATATAATATGAGCATAGGAATCAACACTTCATGGTCACTGTCAGTATCTCCATAGTGGATCAAGAAGATACACTATTTCTCTCTCCATGTGTGTGTGTATATATATATATATATAGATATAATAGGAAAGAACTGTTAGATTGATGATCCAAAGTTCTTTAGTATTTTTGTTTTTATTTTTAAAAACAGTGCTCGATACAGAAGTAGAGCCTAGATTATAATTATTGTTTTTAAAAATATGATTCTTCATGAAGGAATCATATTTTTAAAAACAATAATATATATATATATATATATATATATATATATAATCGTTTTTAAAAATGTCTTACCATTATGTGAGAGGTATATATGGGAGATATTTCCTCTGCTTTTTCTTATATATATATATATATATATATAGTGTATTTTGTTGATCTTTTGGGAAGAAATGAAACTTGAATGTTTTGAAATTGTTTGTTAGGTTCACTCATCTTATGTGAGAAGATATTTTCCAAAATATCTGACTAATGTTGCCCCACTTTTGGAGATGAAAAAAAAAGTCAAAAAGGAGAAATAAGAACTGTCTTCTAAGGTCTCTCACATGTCACATACATTTGATGAAGAACATACTGGCCAAGATCATGTTTTAATAACAACAAAGATGAAGATAACAGTCTGCAAGGTCTGTAGAATAATGGAACTACCAAGAAAAAGAAATCATCAGTTGCAACATAATGCACTTCTGGAAAGCCAAACAATGTTATCTGAAATTTGATGGTGAAGTAATAAACATGAATCCAATAATCTGAAAATGTATGGAATTGTGAAAATACATAATCTCAAAACTTCAGGCAATGCAGGGAGGCTGAAGATAATTTGACTGAAATGTTATGATAAAACAAGAAAGATGAAGTTCATAAAATATTTGAAATTATGAAAATATGTAATCTCAAAACTTCAGAAAATAAACTTCCAAACTGTTTTATGTTTGCCAGGTTTTTTCTAGATTCTCTTTGGCAGCAAACATTTTTTTTTACTTTCCATAAAGCATATTGAAACAGGTTGTGGCAACTGTTGTATTTGCAAGGAGACAATTGAATAGACCTTGAAATAAACATTACATAACATAAAGAAAGATGAAACTTTCTCAAAGAAGAATTTGTGTTAAGCAGCTCAACTGTTATTACTAATTAGAAGCAGTGAGAGACATGTTTTTACTGGTTCAATTTTGGTGACATTTGTTACTGCGATAAGATTGTTGAATGAAGAATTGTATTAGAGTGACCTACAATACCCACATGTCATTCCAATCCAAGTTATGTGCATTTGTAGTGCTCTCGATGAAGTAAATAGAAATTGTAGAAAGCAGATTCAACCATTATTCCGATTCATTTATCTTGGACGAGGAAATTATGTTTTCCCTTTTGTCCAGCCTGCTGGGAACACAGAACAGTTTAGTTACATTATCTCCATGAACCTGGCTTTCCAACCAGAGATGCTTCCAAAATGCTGGCCCCAGCTGGGATAACCAGTCACGTGGCTCCCTGCTGTCCAACAATTGTAGCTGTCCACTCAGTCTCCAGCTGTTTCAAACATTTCCATCATGTGTAGTCTATTGCCCAATTGTCAAGGCTTAACAACAATATTGGTTTTGTTTGAAGGCAGTGGTAAACATTGGCTGATCACCATGTTACTAATGGGCAGTTAGAGATGCTAATGTAATATTGTTTGGAAAGTAATGTTGCATTTTTAGAAAGGGAATGAAAACCCATTCAAATGGAACAAAAGTTAAATTCATTTGTCAAGAGTGTAATTGTTATTAGCAATGACAAAAGCTCAGGATGAAACTAATTCTTTTATTCCTTGTTGAAAGTGTCCAGGCTTCTGGATGAAAAAGAATTTTGAAAATTGCATCTCTTCCTTCAATTTTAAATGTTTTGCTTCCAAGGAAGTGTTTCTTTCATTTGATTAAATGAAAATTTGAAGATGTTAAATCTAGTGAGTAATTTTTCTTATTTTGTGCTGCATTTGGTCTGTTCAAATTATCCGTTCATCATTGGCTCTTCAGCAAGTAAGGTCACATTTTCAGAGATAAAAAACCCAGTGAAATGAAACAACTATATTTGTCAAGATCAAAAACTCCATATGAGACTATTTCTTTTATGTCTTATTGAAATAACCTTGTAAATAGAAAAGAAAAAAATATTCTCTACTAAAAGGTTTTGGATATGCAAAATTCTGATTAGATTACCAGTAGCACATTGACTGCTCTATATTGGTTATCAAGCTGATCATTATAGTTTATAATCACATTTCCTCATCCTTTTTCCTCTAAATAGTTGTTTTCCTTCAGTTATTCTATGCATCATGTCAAATTTTATTATGCAATTCAATGTTCCTGCAATAAAATTGGTATTAACCAACCAATGTTAGTAAACTTTTCAGTATAGTCTTAAGACACCTAAGAAGAAGGGGACATTTATTAATTTATTCTTGTTTGAAGAAATGCTCAACTGTGAGAGATGTGCTGGTGGTGTAATAGTGGCTCAGAAATTGGAGAGCTGAGTTCAAATTCAAGTTAGATTTGTTATGTTCACTTATGTGTAAATGCCCTTGAGAAAAGTATGAATCTCTTTCCTACCCCAAGCTATGGGTTAACTAGGACTTGTATCTGGAAAAATCATTATTTTTCGCCACCAAATTGTTAATGCAATATTCACTCACAAAAAGGGACTTATTCTTACATACAATTCCCTTGAGATTATTAAAGCAACCTCCTTTATTAATTTTGCACTTTTGACTGTTAGATGATTTTTCAACCCCCACCTTTTATTAAGCTGTCCCTCAGAAAATTATTATAATCCCCTTTATATTAGGCATCTGTGTGTATACTTATATTTATATAAATAATATATCATGTGAGTTTTAGTTTATATCTACTTTTGTTAGAAATATTTACTTGGTGTTATAGTATAATGCAATTTGTAGATTTATCATTTTATATATATATATATATATATATATATATATATATATATATATATATATATATAACTTCATTTATTTTTAATTTCATATATAATGAATAAATATTACCATAAGTTGTAAGAAAGATATAATCTAGAAAGAGAAACAAGATATTGTAACGTTATTGAATGATAAGAATCTAACATTGGAAATTATGAAAAGGTTGAACACAGATCATAGAACCATCAAAAGAGAAACTGAAAATATTGCTAAGATAAGAACGAGAAAAAAAAACTAGCCTTTTAAAATAACATAAAAGAGAAGGAAAAAATTAAAAATATAATAAGCAAGAAAAGTGGATTGACCATCAATGAAATATTTGAAGGAACTGGTATTTTGAATGAAAACAAAGAGAAAAGATACAGAATATGAAAAACATTGGCTAAGGATCTAAAAGCAACCAAACTATACTGACTTTAAAGAAATATCATGGAAAGAAATATGTAAGTTAGGGGAAGAAGTACATGAAATTTAATTTCTCAAAAATCCATCTGGTTCACACTCCTCCTTGGACTTTTGAACAGGAGTAGAGGTTTATCCTTTGTTTCCTGTTTCTGATTGGGTTTCTAGTTCCTTCTAAATTCTACTTCAACACCATACTTCTGTCTCCAACTAAATTCCCAAATTTATACTATTATTGGGTTTTTCATTCCCTTTAAAGTCTTTCCCTTCTCTATTACTTCTAGTAGTCCCTTGCGTCTTAGTATCATTATCACTTTGCTTGGAGTGATTTGATTAAAAAAGAAAAACTGTCAGTGATGAATGGACAGACCTATGGTTGATTTGAGTCCTTCATAGAGATAGTTAAGCAACATAACTTACAAGACATCAGAGTGAATTTTTTTTTTACACTAATATTCACCATATACAAATCCCAAAAACCACTCCAGGTAGAGGGTTACTGAAGGAGGTTGTTGCATGAGCAGTAAGAGGTGCATTTTATGACATTATGTGGAAAAGATTAAACTTGAAGAGGTTAAGATTGTAAAGGTTGTGGAGGCATCCTTTTGGGTAACAGTTCTTGGGAAGAAGCTGTTTGAGTGGAACTTACTTCTAACTAATGGAATATGAAGAGAATGAGGATAGTTTGCCTCAGT